TTCATGCTGAGAGAGATGAGTAAATTTTTGAAGCAGGAGATTGTAAATGAATATTTGGTTTCATGGTGCAATGTAATTATAATAGCAAAATTAGATATAATTAATTTTCCAAGGGATTTTCAGAGTAGAATAGAGGTAATTATTTCAGGATATCAATTTTGGAGTAAATTATATGTGTTCATTCATATGAGTGTGTGTTGTAAAGGTTTCTATTTGTGTTTGATCATTCTTTGTAAAAGTGTGATTCTATATTCTTGGTTTTTGTCATCAACTGATGCACTAAAAGTTTATGGGTAAATTATACGCTCGTTTGTGTGCAATCTGTGTGATTTTATTGTGTCAAGGGTTCAAACCTTTCTCGCACCCTGAATATTCCTGCTCCCTAGATTTTTAAGCTCGCTTCACGAGCAAAAATCTTAATGACCTGCTTATGGTTCATGCAACTGTGAAGGTGGCAAGTTGAAGAGGTAGGTGAGTTAGCTAGAATATATATATATATATATATATATATATATATAATATATATATTATATATATAGAGAGAGAGAGAGAGAGAGAGAGAGAGAGAGAAAGAAACGAAGAACGTTTCTGTATTAGAACAATTAAAATTGATCACTATTATAATTACAATAAAGTACTGGAGTTGATCAGCGCAGTAACGCCGCCGCCGCCACCAACGGGGGAATCGGGGGGGGGACGGCGAGCGAGCAACTGTTAGTAGTGCGCAGAGAGGCCTCGAGTGAAGCACGGACGGGGCAGTGCTGCGTCCAAGAGATTTATTGTCATTGTTAAGTGCAATTCGGACGAGCGTGGCCGTTGAGTGTGGAACCAGGTTTGATAAGGATTAAAACCAGATAATTAGTGGCAGTAGAATTGCGCACCAGAACTGATAAAAAAACCAATAAGACAGGAAATCGTGTGGTCGGTGAACTCGTGTCATATTCCCCCCCTGGTATAATGTAACAGTGGGCAATACTGTACGGACATTCGCGCGAAGTTAAGAAAGGTTTCTGAAAGAACTAGAACAGCCGACGGACATCAATCACGCGTCGTGCGTTCCAGTAATCGTGAGACGTTATTCACGCCGGCTGGGGTGGACCCCGGCGAATTCATCGGCCGTTACGTTGGGCCCGAGGAGTTGATCGCAAGGGAGGGCGAATTCCCGGCGGACTTCGGGGCGAACCGAAGCTTGCCGAAGACACCGCCGCCGTCGCCACGACAGCCCGCTCGCCTCCAGAAGAAGCAGGTGGTTTTTAAAACATCAAGGTAGCGTTGACCGTGCACTTGTTACCAGGCCTGCGCATTGCGATTTGTAAATACTATTTGTAAAGTGTGTTCACTGATCATTAAAATATTTAGATGTGCAAAAGAATTTTATAACGATTATCTTCCTATGTTACGGCCAAATTCCTGGAGACCCATTCACGAAAATGTACCTGTCCCTTGCATAATTTATTTGTCGT